ACAGGAATTCCAGGAGATGCTCCAGAGGGTGAGCCCCCAAATCACTCCAAGCTTTAGGACAAACAGGAATTCCAGGAGATGCTCCAGAGGGTGAGCTCCCAAATCACTCCAAGCTTTAGGACAAACAGGAATTCCAGGAGATGCTCCAAAAGGTCAGACCCCATCTCACCCCAAGCTTTAGGACAAACAAGGATTGCAAGAGATGTTCCAAAGGGTCAGCTCCCAACTCACCCTAAGCTTTAGGACAAACAGGAATTCCAGCAGATGCTCTAAAGGGTGAGCCCTCACCTCACTCCAAGCTTTAGCACAAACAAGAATTCCAGCAGATGCTCTAGGGGGTCAGCTCCCAACTCATCCTAAGCTTTAGGACAAACAGGAATTCCAGGAGATGCTCCAGAGGGTGAGCCCCCAAATCACTCCAAGCTTTAGGACAAACAGGAATTGCAGGAGATGCTCCAAAGGGTGAGCCCCCAAATCACTCCAAGCTTTAGGACAAAGAGGAATTGCAGGAGATGCTCCAGAGAAAGGAGGGCTGGGGCTATCTCAGAACAATTACAGGGAGCACTCCACTCTCAAGTGCCTGGAGCTCTGGTTTGGTTTTCACTCTAATGGCACTGAGGAGAGAAGTGATGAGAGGCTGATTTCCCCGAGAAGGGATTCCAGGAACTCCATCCCACCCTGCCAAACGCATTAGGGACAAGTCTGCCCTCCCTGGGCTCTGCTGGATGCAGGGCAGGGTATAAACCACAGCACTCAGAGCCTCCATCCCTATAAATAACTCCAATATCAGAGCTATCCCAGCTCCCCACACCCTGCTCGTGGGCTGCTGTTAACTATTTCTCTCGTGTGCCTGCTCTATGAATATTCTTCCCAATGGCCAGGCAGTCCTGAGCACTTCTCCTCCCTCCAGGAACATTTTTCTCCTGCAATAAAGCTGAATAAGGGGCATCTCCTACCTCCTTCTAACTGGGATTTTTAAATACCTTTATAACCAAAAGAAAAGCATCTGTAAATCCATTAAAAATAACTACTATGAAATGCTGGAGCTGATAGGAACATTTTTCTCCTGCAATAAAGCTGAATAAGGGGCATCTCCTACCTCCTTCTAACTGGGATTTTTAAATACCTTTATAACCAAAAGGAAATCAGCTGTAAAGCTATTAAAAATAACTACTATGAAATGCTGGTGTTGAAACCTTCCTCCTCAATGAATTTGACTTGCACAGAACCTCCCTGGATGGGGAAGGTTTACCCAAAGTTCTCTGGCACTGTATTCATGTGCATGCAACAATCTGGGGTTTCTTGGCAATAAAAAAGGTTTATGGATTGAGGCTTGGACAGCTCCAATTTTACCCCTCTGATATCTGCAACCCCGGTGTCGATGACCAAAAGCTCAAAAACAAAAAAAGATACCCAGCCCAAAAATCAGTGAAAAATACAATTCTGCTGGCACACAGCAAATTAGAGCACGAACAAACGTAATCCACGGGCTCAGCTAACAATGAAAAGTAGATTATATTTACTTTAATCTCAGCAACACACAACCTCAGCAACTTATAAAAGGATTAAGGAGAAAGAGCTCGTAATGCAGAAGTGTAAAATTCTAATTGAACGCTGAAACAGGTAGATTATGTTTATTAAAATTAGGGATGCAATTCCACAAGTCCATTTGTCACTGTTATCCCAAAACTGCTTCCCTGGATTTCAGGGAGGGGCATTTCCCAACTGAGAATATTTCTGAGTGGTTTGTATTCCTCACCATTGTGTGGAAATGTTGTGATGAATTTTCATTCAAACTCTTGGCTCACTTTTTTTTCTTTTTTTTTTTTTTTATTTTTAAAGTATAAATTATGTCTAACAAGAAACACACCAGGGATCTCTTGAATCCCCCAAAGGCACTTTCTTAAAAGGAGAGAGAACAAAGGAGAAAACCTCCCAGCATGTGCTTTCCAAACCAGCTTCTTAGGACAGTATCAAGAATGACAATACTTGAACATAAGCTTTTCTTTTTCACTCTTTGATCCGTGGTTAATTGAATTGATTATTGCAAACTGTGTAATGATTTCCAAAATGCTGGAGTGGAAGGCGAAGATCACAACAATCTAATAACCAATTTAAAGAGATGTAAGAAATATTGAAGGAAAGATTTAATCACTCAAGTATACTCCTTCCAATTAGAAAGAGCTTTAAATAGCTTACCTTGAGATAAATTAGAGTCTGGGTGCAATTAGACAGGAATAGTAATTAAGATCAGGAAAATTCACATATGCCTCAGCCTATGGAGTGAGGGAGAACTCTGCAGCAGAACAAACTTTGCAGTTACCTTGTTTCAGCAGCAGAAAGGAAAACATCCTGCTTCAATTTACCCCAACCTTCCCAGTCCCAGGAATTCAGGAACCTCACCAGGCCGGGATCTGCAAAGCCAGGTTTCACCTTATCTGATTTTTTTTTTTTTCCCCTCCACAGAACAAACAAAAATGGGGGCAAAAAAGGCTGAAAGGCCCTCGCTTGTGGTAAGGAAATAAATTAGAGGAAAGGCAATTTCATGATTAAAACGCCATGAAAAATTGTGGCAAGTAAGACTGACCACTGTTTTTCTGAGGGAGCAACAACTTTAATTTTCCTTTGGCGATAGCACCCATCATATCACATTCCCTAATTTCCACATGTCACATTCCCTAATTTCCCCATACATAGCCCCAGGGTTCTCTGCACAGGAAGGCAACAAATTTTTAGAAACTTGAGTAAGTTTTTCTGACAAACTTTTTCTGGCCAGGCAAAAGAGTCCCTGCCCAAGTATTACAGTTGATTTTAGTTTTTAAAAGTCACTAAATCTGAAATCAATCCCATTTGCTAATTAATCAGAGGAGAACCTTACAACGTTTTACCTAAGAAAATAATTAAAGGAATTCACTGGTCATTCTTCAAAGAGCAGAGTCTTCATCACAAACCGTCCCTTAGCTACTTTCAACTCCCAAAAAAAAGAACTTAAAAGCACGTTTTCTGGGGATTTACTCCTTTTTAAAAAATCCCCAGTGTCCCCAGCCACGATGTCAGAGCTTTCCACATTTTTCTGAGGAGCTCCTGCAGCACCTGAGAGCCTGGAGAGCTGCAGGGTGACAGCTCCCAGCCCAAGCAGGAGATTCTGTGTCCCCTCTCCTTCCTGACGGAGCGGCTCCCACCCACGCAGCTTTTTAATTCTGTACAGTCTAAAGACAAAAAAAAACAAACAAAAAAAAATCAGAATGTCCTGAGGTCTTCCAAGCATGAATTTATGAAGTAATTACTTTTTTGTTAAGCAAACTGCCAAGCTCCCGTGGCTGCAGAAAAAAAAAATGCCCAACTTTTCACTGCCATCCTCCAGTCCCTGCCTGCAAGTACCACTCCAGCCGCAACCTGAGCAGAAAACTGAAACTGAGAATAAAACAGCAACTTTGGCATTCACCCTCCACATCCCTGAGGCAGCAACAGCACTTTACGAAACATAAATTTTAAAAACTCTGATTTTTCTCTACCGGTTCTCGAGAAGGAGACTTCTAACAGTGATCAATGAAGGGGTTTGGAATGACTTTATTCCCTATCTCCCATCTCTTTGAACTCCTTTTGAGTCACTCTTGCTAATAAAGGCATCACGTAAAGCCAAGCTGGCTGCTGTGCACCACCAAACTCTCGCTGCTACTTACCAAAACACACTATTCCATTTGCCACGCTAAAATTGACAAAAACTTGAGCACTGGAATCACATCTTAACCCTCTGATCTCGTTATGTGGGAAGCAGAGCTTGAAAAGAAAAAAGGCTTAAGGACTACACAGCTCAAGCAATACAATGTGGTCTGAAGACACGCAGAAAAACGAAGGCCAGAGGAGGATTTAAAGGAGGATCTGAAGGGTCCTGACCCACACAAGTCAGAACACACCGAAGATTTAATATTTCTTAACCCGCTGACAGCTCCTTAAGCGTCTAAAAACGAAAGCGCACGGTACCTTTGATAGTCAGAAAACCGAGATCTATCAAACCTCTAGGAAAAGACCAAATATTTCCTTAGTCATACCCGAGCCATTCCGTAGTTTATGTTACACGTTTAACACGCCTGTGCCCGTACCCATTTCAGACCCACCTGATTCCAGCCCTTCACTCCGCGAACTTTACAGGAGGAGGAGGAGGAGGAGGAGGCAGGAGCCCTCCCGGTGAATAAGGAGCCTGTGAAAAGTGCGAGGAAACTCCGCAACTTTTCACACCCTGCAGAGTGTGCGGGGCACAAAGTTTCGGGGGGATCTTTCCCTGGGATTTTCGGGTGGGTGCCTACCACCCTCTACCCTGCCACCGCTCTTCCTCAAAATCGCTTTAGGAAAGCCCAAGTTCCGCGTCCGGCAGAGCGGGAGGAGCTCCTTCCCTCCGGGCTGAGCGCCCGAAAAATCCCCCCAAATGCTCCCCGAAACCGCCCCGGGCGGAGCGGCCGCGGCCGGGCGGCTCGGAGCGCCCCGTCCCCCCGCGTTCCGCAGCATGACAGGGACCGCCGCCAGCTCAGCGCCGCGGAACTCCTCCACATCTGCCTGTGACGTTCTTTATTTACCGGCGGGCCGCGCCGCCGCCGCTGTCACCGCCGCTGCCGCTCCCGCCGGACTCCCCTCGCAAACTTCGCGGGGCGCCGCGGCGCCGTGCCCCCCGCCGGCCCCCACACCCCGCGGGGGGCTCCCCGCGGCCGCCGCCCTCACCCGCGGCGGCGCCGCCCGGCCCGGCGGCCGCGGAGCGGAGCCGCCCGCGCTGCCCCGGCTGCCGGCGGGGCCGCCCGGCGGAGCGCGGCCGGCGGAGTGTGTGTGTGGGGGGGTGCGGCGAGAGGAGGCAGCTCCGCGCTGCGCTCCGCACCCACCCCGCCTCTCAACCCGCGCTGCCAGCGCGGCCCCGCCGCGGCCGCTCCGGCGCGGCTCATCCCGCCGCGGGCCGCCGCCGGCCGCGGCCCCGGCGGCGCCGCGGGGGGACGCGGAGAGCTGCGCTTTACCTTTAGTTCCGCACTGTCCGCCATCTTGCGACTCCGCGCGCAGGCGCAGTGAACCCCGCCGGGACGCCGCCGCCCCGCCGCCGCCGCCCCGCCCGCCCGCAGCGCGCAGCGTTTGAATCGCGGCGCCATTTTGTGCCTCCTCCGGCCGCGCCGCTCCGCGCCCTCACGCCGGGGCTGCCGCTTCGCCGCGGCTCCCGGGGCCGCCCCGCGGGGCTGGAGCCTCGCCCTGCCCGTAGAGCTTCGCCCTGCCCGTAGAGCTTCGCCCTGCCCGTCGAGTTTGGCGCTGTTGGCGGCGCTCCGTGAGGGGAGCGCGTCCCTGCGGGCGCCCCGGCTGCTCCCCTCAGCCCCGCGGCGCCACAGGCAGCGCCTTCCTCCGGTGGTAAATGCGGTTATTAACACGGGACCGTGCAGCTGCGGTGCGTGAAACGACGCCGATCACCGCGTTTTTAACATTTTTAGAAGTTGGGTCATAATAAAATTATTATTAAAATAGTAATATAAATAAAGTGTGAAAAAACGCTTGGTTTTTAAGATTTTTTAGAAGTTTAATAATAATAAAATTATTATTAAAATAGTAATGTGATTAGAGTGTGAAAAA